AAAAAAAAAAAAAAAACATGAATGAACCGGTGTGTGCCTCGGGAGGACAGCAGTTTGTCGTATTTGCTCACACAACGAAGCCAAAAAAGGTCACCGTGTTTCATACGTTTCAGCAAATAAGTTCAAAGACGGATCCCCGGTTGTAATTTTAGGCTGCATATCAACGTGGATTTAAGAAATGTTGTTAACGGTGTCTTACAAAATGAGACTGCAATACATTGCTTGTTAAATGTTCACAATTTAAATTTAAAAAAAGACTGAAGCTCCTTTTAGTTTCATCTAAACATTTGCTCATTTTAATACGAAATACGACAGTGATGGATTGAAACATGAACATCGGCTGGTTTGTTGTTTGTGGTTGTGAAAAAAAGATCTCTTTAACATCTCTAATGTTATTTTAGTTATACGCTACATTAATATTACGCTGAGGAATTTAAAACACTGATATTTCTCTTGTGAATAACATGTTATTTAAAAACAGTCTGTCAGCTGCATCACTGCTCTTCAGTACTCGCCTTCAGCATCGGCCAATTAGTTTGTCAATGTTAAATACGACAATCAATGTTTGAAATGGTAAAATTATTCTAAAATGTTAATATTAATAAATGAATATATTTCACTGTATACCACAATTACCGTTAAATCAGCCAATCCACTAGATCTGTTCTGGGTAGAAAAGGTATCAATGCACCTTATGGATGTTCTAGTATTTTCACACTAGTGTCTTAATTTAACTCCTCATAAGATGTAAATAAACTGGAGCTGAACATGACGATGAACTGGTCCCAGAAACACCAAATTTCCAGAAAGCCCTTGTGCGAGCTCACTACATGGGTAAATAATTAACACCTCTGAATTTCTGATACTCCGTTGTGATAAAGAACGTGACGGATAAGGAAACCTGAGCACAAAAGCAGAGTACACAGTGCAGCTCCGCAAAGATCTTCATTTCTGATTAGTAGTCTTGGTGTGTTTGTTTTACGTTTCCCAGCTTCAGTTATAAATCCGACATTTTCTAGTAAAAAATTAGAATACAAAAATAACTACTTTTACTGATAACTGTATCGATTTGGGGATTTTACTATCACCCAACAATAGTTTATCTACAAGTTCTCTAGTGGAAAGCAACTCAAAGCATTGTTTCAGCAAAAAAGAAACAAAATTCCCACTTCTACTACTAATTATTTGATAAACTGAACTAAAATGAAGAAATTCCCACAATTTAAAGACAATTAATTGAATAAGTGAACTGAAAAATGTATAAAAAACATTAGGAACATGCTTGATTTCTGTAGCTACTGAGTTGAGTTGAACTGAGTGTCACACTTATTACTTTTACTTATTTATTAGACTTGTAAAATTACAAACGCGGCAGAACGGCACGCCATTTAAACCGCACGCATTATTATTACAAATATTCCCCTCACATCTCCAGACTGTTAGCCCGATGTAAACACAGCTCATCTGGATGAGCTTATCGGGTCAAATCCTGAACCTTCTCCAATAAGTAACAGTGGCATCATCCAAAGAGATTGTGTGGAGATATCCGCATATTTTCTGCTTCATTACTGTTGGTAGTACAGTTAATATCTCTATAATGGAAGAGCTTAAAGACGTATTACGCAGCCCTTTATGACACCGCGGAGCAGACTCATTTCACGAGCCCCGTTTGATCTTCCTCAGGAAATAAAGTCTAAGAGATAGAAACCCTCCGCTCCTGTTTTAGTACACATGCTGGTGTTGTAGTCTTTAAATGAATGCACCATCTACCATTAGGACCAACAGACTTAAGAACTCCTTTGTCCCTCACTGTGCAATAATAATCCACTCATACATACCTGGACACTCTTCTTACTGATTCTTTTGTGCAATAACTTGATCCACCGCTTAAGTGCAATAAT